AATCATTAGGTGACGACTCTTCAAATGCAAAACCCAGTTCCCAAAAGGAATGAGTTGTCCTATGCCCAAAATATCATAAACCCGATTTTCCGATGCAAAGAGAGGAAAAAGGGGGCGTGACACACATACACAGGGGAACTCAAAGAATCACGAGGCACAACCAAATATGAAGCAAAATAGGATGACATGTAGGAATAAGTAGACCCCGGATCAAACAGTATTGAGGCAATACTACTGCAAACTGAAAACGTACATGTGGCAACCGCGTCAGATGACTCAGCCTCAGGCCTGGCTGGAAAAGCATAGCATCGGGGCTGGGCCCAACCACTCTGAACTACATCTCAAGGAAGGGCCCTGTCTGGCTGGCCTCCACCTCTAGCGGCCTAATCTCTACCTCTAATACCCCGACCTCCACCTCTAGCTGCCTGACCCCTACCTCTAGCTAGCTGAGCGGGCGGTGAAACACCCGGTTTTGGGACCATGGCACGAGAACCCTGATGCTGAGAACTACTCAACCCTTTAGGTCTCCGCAATGCTCATGTTCCGTAACACTTCATGAAAACTGTCCAGATAGTCCTGGGGATCCTCTGAAGATGCACCGTTGAAGTGAACTGGGGAAAGCTTGGTAAACCTATCCAATCTCCACAAAGCCTCAAAAGACATAGTTGATCCATCATCGGTCTGTGCCGCAAAACCCGGCTGAACTACCCCAACGGGCTGAGCTGCTGGAGTCTGAAACTGAGGAGCCATCTGCTCCAGAGTGTGAGTAGCGGGAGTCTGTGCTCCTCCCCCAGCCTGAGACACGGCTGGTGCTATAGAAAATGTGCCGGCATGTGCCACGCTCTCCATGAGGCACACCAAACGGACCAAAGCATCCTGAAGTACCGGTGTGGAGATGAACCCCTCTAGGACCTGAGCTGGTCCTGCTGGAATGGTCTGGGATGGAGCCTCCTCATCAAACTGTACCTGAGGCTCCGCCGCAAGTGCTGCTGCTCGAGCTCTCGGCTGAGCCCTGTCCCTGCCTCGACCTCTGGCGCTCGGCCTCGACTTCTGCCCCTCGTAGGAGATGCCACTAGGGGCTCTAGCTGTTGCTCAGCTGAAGATGTGGTACGTGTTCTTGCCATCTACGAGGAACAAGAGTAGAAAAGTTCGATTAGAATTGAGAGAACAAAATGGCACGACACAGAAGAATAGAAATGGACTTGTTCCTAAACTTTGTAGCCTCTGAGAGATAAGTACAAATGTCTCCTTACCGATTCCCCAGACTCTACTAAGCCTTCTCGTGAATTGTGAGACCTAGGCAACCTAGTGCTCTGATACCAACTTGTCACGACCCAAAATTTCGACCGTCAGGACCTTGATCGTGCCTAACATTTCACTTGCTAGGAAAGCCAACGTTAGAGATCATTAAACCAATTCTTAAACCTTTCAGTGATTAACAATAATTAAACCATAAGAAGTTGAAAAGAGTGCGGAAATCCATAACAATCTTAACCTATAAAGCTACCCAGAATCTGGAGTCACAATCCACGAACTTCTAAGATTTAACTACAACAAATGTTTGAAGGAAATGCAACTATGTTCGACACCAAAGAAACAATAAACAGAATGTATGGAAGGGGACGCCAGGGCCTGCGGATGCCAACAGGTCTACCTTGGGTCTCCGATCAGATGAAGCCAACAACTAAACTCAGGATCATCTCGGACCAGTACCGTAATCTGCACAGAAAGTTCAGAGTGCAGTATTAATACAACCGACCCCATGTACTAGTAAATGTCGAGTCTATCCTCAACGAAGTAGTGACGAGGCTAAGACAAGACACCCACAAAACAAACCTATGCAAAATAACAATATATATACCAATAACAGTAATAAAAGAAACAAGACAAGTATTATTGGGAGGGGGACATGCTGAGGGGATCACAAGATAAAAGATTACAGCAGAATTAAGAACTTTGATCAACCGCTATAATTAGAACATATAAGAAGAAGTAACCACAACAAGAGAAAGTACACGGCATCACCCTTCGTGCTTTTACTCTCAACCTCACCATATGAATCAAAAGGAACGACACGACATCACCCTTCGTGCATTAACGCTAACAAAGTCATGGCACGACATCACCCTTCGTGCATTAACACTCACAATATGGCATGGAATCACCCTTCGTGCATTAACACTCACAAATCGTGGCACGACATCACCCTTCGTGCATTAACACTCTCCCTCACCAAAACAATGCACAATAACAATAGGGAGATAGAAATATAAAGAACAAATCTTACTTCAACATTTGGTTCCACAATACCAACCTTAACTATCAATACTCAATAAATACCAAAATCCGTAAATGTGATAAGAACGACCAACATAACGATAAACTAGTCTAAACATGGGTAATATGATCACGGAAAGCTTCAATTTCATGAATAAGACTCACTCGTATGCTATGATTTGACAACAACGCATAAGTACTCGTCACCTCAGCTATACGTTGTACTCAACATTCAAACATGTAGCAATTAGGTAAATAAGACCTAATCCCTCAAGCCAAGGTTAACTACGACACTTACCTCGCTCCAACGACCAAACTCAAAGCTCAACCACGGCTTTTCCTCTCAAACGAGCCTTCGAACCAGTAGAATCTAGCAAATTACGAACCAAACGATTCAAATAAAGCCTTCGGAACTACACACGATTGTAAAGAATTCAATTTAGGCCATTTTTAAAAAAGTAAACAAAAGTACACCCAGGCCCGCTTGGTCCATACCCGAAATCTGCAACAAAACCTGATTACCCATTCACCCCCGAGCCCGGATATATGATTGATTTTGGAATCCAACCTCAATTTGAGGTCTAAATTCCCAAATTTCGAAATCTCTAATTTCTACCCAAAAATTCCCAATTCCACCATGAAAACCTTAGATCATAAGTTGAAATCATGTAAAATGAAGTGAAAGTTGTATGAAACTAGATTAGAATCACTTACCAATGATTTGGGGAAGAAACATTCTTAGAAAAATCGCCTCTTGTGTTTTAGGTTTTGAAAATTTGAAGAATGGGAGAAAAATCCCGTCTAAGTCACTTTTACACAGCTGCAGATGTCGCATTTGCGACGCAAATGCGAAGAGACCATCGCAAATGCGAAGTCCTTCACACCTCTGCTGCCTTCGCAAATGCGAAGATTAGGTCGCAAATGCGAACTTGAATCTTCGCAAATGCGACTCAGTGATCTTATTTGCGATCACTGCCCTTCCAACACTCCTTTCGCAAATGCAAAGGAAAATTCGCAATTGCGAAAACAGTTGGCCCAGCTTCTCTTCACATTTGCGATGAGACCCCTCGCATATGCGATGCCTAATCTCGCAAATACGAGATTGGAGGCTTGCAACAAGACCAGATACACCAACAATTTTCTCTAAGTCCAATTTCACTCCGTAGCCTATCCGAAACTCACCCGAGCCCTCGGGGTTCTAAACCAAAAGTGCACACTAGTCCAAAACTTCATACGAACTTGCTCGCGCTATCAGATCGCCAAAATAACTCCTAGAACTACAGATTTAGCACCAAATCTAATGAAATTTTCAAGAAAAGTTTCAAACTTCTAAATTCTCAACCAGACGTCTGAATCATGTCAAAACCAACTCCGTTTCTCACCAAATTTCACAAACAAGTCATAAATATGGTATTGGACTTATACCAGGTTCCGAAACCAAAATACGTAGCCGATATCCAAAAGGTCAAACCTTGGTCTAACACTTCCATGTCATTAAGCCTTTAATTTTGAAATTTTGACAAAGTCCAATATCTCCGACTAGGGACTTCCGATTTCGATTTCGGGCGTACGCCCCCAAAATCATGATACGGATCCACCGGGACCGTAAAATCACGAATCCGGGCCCGTTTACATAAAATATTGACCGAAGTCAACTCAACTAAAGTTTTTAGGCAAAATTTTTTATTTTTATCAACTATTAACATTTAAGCTTTCCGGGAACGCGCCAGAACTATGCACGCAAATCAAGGAGGTTAAAAATGAGATTCTTAAGGCTTTAAAATGCAAATTTGAGTTCTAAAATATAAGATGCCCTTTCGGGTCGTCACAGGAACTCTTTTTCGATTTAAACTATACATATGCCAAGAAGTTGATTTTGGGTCAAATTCTTTTGGGAAACGTAGATTGACAAGCCGACAAACACATTATTTCGTTGCTTAGATTGCCTATGATGTATGTTTCTGACAAATTATTGAGTTCATGTCAAACATTTACATAAGAAAACTATTGTACATGAGCTAAAGCTGCTCAAGTCCAATTACGAAGGAAATTTTGATTAAGTAACCTAATACACGCAAACTTACTCTATCCACGTTATTTTGCCCTTCTTGTCAGCATAAATAAGTAATTGTTATTTTCACTATATTTTTAAAAGTGGTCTAGCTAAAACATGTATCCCGCAGATAAAATTCTCTTTATAGGACAAGGTGATTTTAAAGCAAATATAATTAATAATGAAGTTATATATTTTTATATTAATATCTTTGTGCAAGCTGTTAAGATATACATGATGATATGTCTCTCGTGCTTTCTGATAAAAAAATCTGAGTGAACCAATTTAGGCACGAGGAAGTATACTTTTGTAATTTTTTTGTAATTTTATATCCTTTTACAATCAAATATATATGCGGTTAAGAATTTATTAGAAATATTTTTTTGTGATAATTGACACACGATAATATGCAACTCAACAAGGGTATTTGAAACAGCCGGTGTTGAGTCTCAAATGACATGCTCATATACCCACAAAAATATAAGGTTGAGAATGAAAAAAGAGAGATTTATCGAAAGTTATTAGAATATTTTCTCAAAAAGTAATGCCATGAAAGACTCTGTATTTTTCTTTTCTCTGTCATTAAAGTTTTTTTTTTGAGATGTTACATCCATATACCTGAATCATTTGCATAACAAAAAATATTAAATATGTTGCACACGATTTGGTAAAATTACTAATCCAAATTTGAAACTAAAAGGACATAGTAGCTTTACTAACAAGTAATAGTACGCGATAACATTCCACACGCTTGCAAACAATTTCTTTTGAAAATAAGTTCAATACACAATTGAAAATAAGGCAAATACTTTTCTTATTTGTCTTACCTTCGTCTTATTCAAACCACAGGCAGTGCACATCTTTGATTTCTTTTGACATTTGCATCTACTGAATATGCAGCCGATAATTGGGAATAGCCATTAGATGTTGAGTTTTAGCTGTTACTAAACCAAACTTTTCAGTCATGTCAATATCTTTTGGCATCATACCATTTGGTAACTTCCAATCAAAGCAATGAACTAATTGCGCTACCGCCAAACGAACAATGGTGAGCCCTAATTGCAAACCGGGACAACTTCTTCTACCAGAGCCAAATGGTAAAAGTTGAAAATTTTGTCCTCGAAGATCGATGTTACTTCCTTGAAACCTCTCAGGTATGAACTTTTCTGGCTCAAGCCAAGTATCTGAATCTCTCCCTATTGCCCAAACATTAACCAAAAGTCGGGATCCTTTAGGCATGTGAAACCCATCCACTATGCAATCTTCAATGGACTCGTGGGGAAGCAATAATGGTGCAACTGGATGCAGCCTAAAACCTTCTTTTATGACCATATCTAAATATTGTAGGTTTTCTAAGTCTGATTCTTCCACCATTCTCTTTCTACCAACTACATGTTCCAACTCTTTTTGAAGTTTCTTCATCACATCAGGATGCCTAAAAAGTTCTGATAAAATCCATTCAATTGCCGCTGATGAAGTATCCATTGAAGCTACCAACAAGTCCTGTATTAAGTGCACTACATGAGTACACTGCTAAAAAAACTATATTAAGTACGAATTGATCCATTTTTTTCTTGGTAACCATTGAACCAAGTGCATCATTCGACCTTCTTGGAGCATGACTGCAAACAGTAAATATTATACTAATTTTAAAAAATATGTACTATATAACTTTGCGGAAAGACCATATATAGGTTCACGTGCCTCATAATTTCCCTTATAAATTCGCCCCTTTATACATACCATTATGCTTCAGTTAAGGGTTTAGATGATTTTGAAGTATACACTACAATAGAGCTGGCAAGTTCTGATTAAACACTTAATAGTTGTGACCAGAAATCAATATCTAAATTAATAGATACAAGTAACTACTTGAATTTCTTTAACCTAATTGGTTAATTAAGTTATCGAAAAAATATTGCTCAATAATTGACGGAAATCGTCCAAGCCTTAGGAAACTGTTAAAATCAACTGAAGCTCCTAGTTTGCAGCATGTTATACGTTTTCAAAAGATACGTAATTGTAACATCTACATACTAGATTCGAAGCAATCAGGATTGGAATTTATGTAAAGAGAATGAATTTTTTGTATTGTTTTCCCGTTTCTTGAAGCAAAATGTACAATCCTAATCTTTTTCAACAAAATCACTAGAGGAAATTTTTGGTATAAATTGGCTCACCAGAAGAAGGCTTACAAGACTTTGCTTGATGTTTGGTGGATATGATGATGAAAGCTCTCGATTCGAATTTTTAACTTGGGGGATTTGTCGGTATATCCTAAAATTGTACAGTACTACTCATTCCCTTTCAATATATATATATATATATATACATATATATATATATATATATATATATATATATACACCAATTTAGGAGAACTTGTAAATTGAATAGAAAAAAAAATATTTTTCTCATATAATTGGCTAGGCCAAACTAGGGGTGTGCATTCGATTTATCGATTTGATTTTGACCCTTATCGATAATTACTTATCGATTATCGATTTGTACACATGCTTATCGTTATCGTTTCAATAAGGTTTCGATTTTTTCGATTTCGATTTATCGATTTTTGGGGCTTATCGATTCGGTTATCGATTACACCAATAAGAAAATTTGCGGGATTCCACGGAAAGTATATCGCTATAAACACGCCTAACTAATATGGACCAAAAGAAGCTAAAATAAGACGAACACCGTTTATAACATAAAAATTGTGTCAACAAGCACATGCAACGAAACTAAAGTAAGGGATCAAATGTATGCCACCAACACTCCAACGGTATAAAAAAAAATACATCATCACGGCTAATTCTATTTTTCATAAATTTGAACTTCATTCCCTTGAGCTTTAAGTATGATCATTCCTTAAATGTGGTAGATGAAATAATAGGGTTAGGGACTTAGGGTAAAGGAAAGGGTATTATAGAATAAGGGAAAAAAAAATTTAAAAAAAAAATTTAAATTTTTTTTTTAGTATTTCTTATCGGTTTATCGATAAACCGATAAACCGAAGAGGACAAAATTGAAATCGAAATCGATAACTCGATAAGGAAAATTTCGAAATCGAAATCGAAATCGATAAATCGATAAACCGATATCGATAAACCGATAACAAATAATCGATTCAATTTATCGATAAACCGATTCGAATGCACACCCCTAGGCCAAACCGCCTTACAGGTCGATCCCGTGCCGCAGTGGGACGAGACCCGAACTAGCACCTGGGCTGGTCTATCAGGTCCGGTGCCATGTTCGGCCTAACCCTCTCCTCGATACCCCCCACGCAACCCTCCCTTGGGCCAATGAGGCTATTCTGTAGCAGGCCCACGGATTCAATAGCCCAATAGTTTCCTTGTGTTTTCAGCCCAAGTAGTAGTGACCCGTTTTGTTAGTATTAGCTTAGCTGTTTTTTTTATTTAATTAAGTCCAGCTGCTAGATGATTCTAGACACAGGACAGGTGTCAAAAGGTGAGTAGGTTTGTTAGAGAATTCCAGATTGTCGTCCTTTTAGATCTATATTAGTCCTTTTGCATTGTATTCGGAGGCTATCTATCAATGAAAAGCTATTTTCCTTAATTTTCATTTTATTCCTTCTTTCCCAATTATCTCAGTAGCAGCAAAACTGCTACAATTTTGGTATCAGAGCGCCGGTCACTGGCAACGGACTGATGGTAGATAAACAACGGAGTCTCACCGGAGACGATGAGCTTCGAAAGGTTGAAGCTTAGCTTCAACAGTTCATAGAAGAATCAGGTAAACGGATGGATAAATTCGAAGAGAAACAAGCTGGTTTTGAATCAAAAATGGTAGAGATGACTGACACGACGAGGAGAATCGAGGATATACTGATCAAAATAAGTAATCAAAACTTGGAACCATCATCGTCAGCAAGGTCACATGCTGGTGGTATTCATGGAGAAACTAGGGTGGAAGGAGCTCAGTCGTCAGTGGGAGGTAACCTACGTAATACAATCCTTTCTCCTTCACCCCAAGCCTTCTTGAGTCAGCGAGGGGCCAACGTGATAACCCCGCTCCGTTCTGAGCAATTACCAGCTCGTTCGATGCCCTTGTCGGAAGCTGGAAACCAAACTCTTAACCCCGCTTCCACTGCTTTTCGACCCACAAACAGTTCCTATCCCATGTCCACCCAACCATTTATTCCGGCAACCAGTTCATATCCTACAACCACCCAGCCTTTTCCTCCGATATCAAGTCCATACCCCATGGCAACACAACCCTATTTCCCACAAAGCCTACCATTCTCATCAGCACACCATGTGACCAATACCACTATCCCTTTTTACTCAAGTTCTTATTCTCAGCCCCTCATATACCCATTAGCCCTGGCACCAAGTTCCCCTGTTCCTTTTGGATCATTTCAACCCAATAATACTAGTTGGGCCCCTCCAAACCAAGTTGGGCCAGAACCGAGTAGCTCGGTGTCTAAGCTCCCAAAAGCCAAGTTGTCATTCCCTGAGTTTGATGAGTTAAATTCGAGGAGCTGGCTTCGACATTGTGATAAATTTTTTGATCTTTATCAAGTTACCGATGAAGAAAAGATGACATATGTGGCCATTCATTTGCGTGATTAAGTAGATAATTGGTTCGACAGTTATGTGATGGACCGTGGTGGCAAGGTAACATGGGCCGAGTTTTGTTTTGATATATGTCAAAGATTTGGTAATAACATGCCTGTGGATATCGTTGCTGAGTTCAATCGATTGGAGCAAACTTCAGATGTTGAAACTTATAAAAGGCGTTTTGAGGAGCTAAGGTGTCTATTGGTTTTAATAAACCCTTACGTCCATGAAGCATATTATGTGCTATGTTTTATCGGTGGATTGAGATCCGATATTCAGCCCTTAGTCCAAGATGCTCAACCGAGGACGCTGATGGAGGCATATAGGAAAGCCAAGTTACATGAAAAATCCTTCAATGCTCTTTACAAGCAATTAGCCACCACCACCAAAACCCTTCACAAACCAACCCAATATCCAGCCAAAACAGCCCCTCCCATTACGTACCCTCGAAATGCTCCAAATATTGTGAACACAAGAAACCTTAACCCCAGGAATATGACTCTAGAACAGTAGAGGGAGAGGAATCTGTGTTACAAATGTTATGACAAATATCATCCTGGCCATCAATGCAAGAATAGGGCCCTTAATGCTATGGAAGCTGAAGAATTTGTTGATGCTGTTGAAAACAGTGAAGAGCAACCTAAGGTAGTAGAAGTTGAGGCCCATGCCCAAGACCAAGGCGAGGTGAGTCTTGCAGCTATGTTGGGCCACAGTAAAGGCGCAAAAACAGTCAGAATTGTTGGGTGGGTCAAAGGAGTAAAGGTAATGGTACTAATCGATTGTGGATCCACCCACAGTTTTGTGGACCCACAAATAGCTAAAGTCACCTCTACAAAGATAGAAGAACTGATTCGACCCATGAAAATTCGAGTAGCGAATGGTCAATATGGAAGAGCTACACAAACTTGCAAGGCATTCAAGTGGCAAATGCACAAGCTGGAGTTCAATTTTGAATTGAGGCTATTTAAAGTGGGGGGGGGGGGGTGTGATATTGTGTTAGGAATGGATTGGATTGACTTGGTAACACCAATTGTCATTCATACCATACCTCCTAGTATTTCCTTCAGATATGGTACTGAGGTAGTGACTTTGTTTGGAGCGACAGGCGGAGAAAAGGTGACTAATGTTGACGCCAAGGTAATCTCCAAGTTGTTAAGCAAAGGCCAATGCCATTTCATGGCCCAGTTATCTTTAATTGGGCCAACAGAGAAGGCTGAGGAAATCCCAAGGAAAATTTCAGAGTTATTGGGCCAATTTGAAGACATTTTTCAAGAGCCCAAAGGGCTGCCTCCGGTCAGAGAATATGACCATGTTGAACTGTTACCAGGAGCTAAGCCCATCAACTTAAGACCCTATCGTTATTCCTTTGAACAAAAGAATGCCATAGAAGAGTTGATTGCAGAGATGCTAAAGAAGCAAACAGTCACTAAGAGTCTCTCTCCTTTTGCCTCCCTTGTGCTTTTGGTCAAGAAAAAAGACTCAACTTGGAGAATGTGTGTGGACTACAGAAAGCTAAATGATATTACGGTGAAAAATAAGTACCCAATTCCAGTAGTGGAAGATTTATTAGATGAACTCCATGGAGCGAAATTTTATTCTAAGCTTGATTTACGGTCAGGATACCACCAAATTCGGATGAAGAAGGGAGATGAGTTTAAAACTGCATTTAGAACACACCACGGGCTTTGGGAGTTCAAGGTCATGCCTTTTGGGCTAACCAATGCCCCAGCTACATTCCAGGCCTTGATGCACCAAATTTTTGGCCCATTTCTACGTCAGTTTGTTCTAGTCTTCTTCGACGATATACTGATTTATAGCACTTCTTTAGGTGATCATGTGAGTCATTTACAGTTGGTATTTGACCTATTGAGGGCTAATCAATTGTTTGTTAAGCGTTCCAAGTGTAGTTTTGGGCAGAGCAAAGTGGCATATTTGGGCCATATCATTTCACATGAAGGAGTAAGCACTGATGGGGCAAAAATTGAAGCCATGGTGAATTGGGCTCAGCCCAAATCAGTGAAAGAGCTGAGAGAATTTCTTGGTCTCACAGGTTATTATAGACGGTTCATCAAAAATTTTGCTATCATAAGTAAACCTTTGACTAATTTGCCTAAGAAAGGAAATTTTTGTTGGACCATGGAGGCTACACAAGCATTTGAAGATTTAAAGCAGGCTATGGTCCAAGCTCCCGTCTTAGCATTGCCTAACTTCACAATACCATTTGTCGTCGAAGTATATGCTAGTGGCAAGGGTGTTGGAGCCGCTTTAATTTAAAATGGGAGACCAATCGCCTTCATTAGTCAGGCTTTGATTCCCAAGCATTCGGGCTTGTCTACATATGAAAAAGAATTGGTGGCCCTATTACATGCAGTTGAAAAATGGAAACATTACTTGCAACCCAGTCATTTATGATAAAAACAGACCATTTTAGCCTAAAATTCCTTAAAGAGCAGAGGATTACTACTACGCTACAGCATAAAGGAATTACTAAGTTATTAGGCTTGGACGATGAGATCCATTACCGCAAGGGGTGGAAAATGTAGCTGCGGATGCTTTGTCCAGAAAATTTGAGGAAGGTAATTGTTGTGGACTAACCATTGTCCAGCCCAAATGGACTGAAGAGGTACCGAGCAGCTACCAAGATGATGCTACAGCTCAAAACTTGATTATGCAATTAAGTTTAGATCCAACAGCAGTCCCCGGTGCTCAGTTACACCATGGCATCCTAAGACATGAGGGAAAAGTTTGGGTGGGAAGCAATGGTTCCCTCCGACAAAGATTAATAACAGAAATGCATTCAACTCCACGGGGAGGTCATTCAATGATTCATGCAACTCAGCAGAGACTACGAACATTGTTTTATTGGCCGACCTTATTACAAGACGTGAAAGACCAAATCAGAGAATGTGAAGTTTGTCAACGCAACAAAGTTGAAAGTGTGGCATACCCAGGTCTTTTACAACCCCTGCCTATACCCTCCAGGGCATGGGAACATATTGCAATGGACTTTATTAGTGGGTTACCTAAATCACACGGGAAGGATTCGATATTGGTGGTGATAGACAGGTACACTAAATTTTCCCATTTCTTTGCCTTGACTCATCCATATGCTGTAAACCAAATAGCCCAATTGTTCCTAGATAACATATGCAAACTGCATGGTATGCCCAGCTCCATATTTTCTGATCGAGACCCGATATTCCTTAGCACATTTTGGAAAGAATTGTTCAAAGGATTACAGGTGCAACTCAAGCCCAGTAGTGCCTACCACCCGCAAATGGATGGACAATCTGAAAGGTTGAATAGATGCCTAGAAACGTACCTTCGTTGTATGACAGGTCACAAGCCATCCGACTGGAGTAAGTGGATATCGCTAGAAGAATTTTGGTACAACTCCAATTACCAATCTGCCATTGAAATGACACCCTTCAAGGCTTTATATGGTTATGAGCCTCCCCAACCGACATTTGAATTCATAGCCCAAACAAAGTTGGAAGCAGTGGATGTGGTGATACGGGAAAGGCAACTGATGGCTAAAGTTTTACAAGACAACTTAACAAAGGCCCCAAGTAAGAATGAAGGCTTATGCAGATTCAAAGCGCAAAGAAAGAGGTTTTGATGTTGGTGATTGGGTTTTCCTAAAATTACAGCCCTACCGTCAATCTTCAGTGGCAATTCGCAAAAATTTGAAGCTCTCAACTAGGTATTTTGGACCTTACCAGGTGATTTGCAAAATTGGACTAGTAGCCTATGAATTACAGCTCCTGAGTGGCTCCAAGATACACCCTGTATTCCATGTATCCCAATTGAAGAAGAAGATTGGAGAAAAGAATTTTTCCACACAAGATCCACCCTACTGCACCAGTGATGGTCAATTCTGACAGAGCCGCTGAAGATTCTAGAACGCCGCATGATTAAAAGGGGTAATCGAGCAGTGACAGAGGTGCTGGTTCAATGGGCCAAAATTGGCACTGGAAGAGGCGACATGGGAGGATTACACCTTCCTAAAAAGTCAATTTCCACACTTTGATCCTTGAATGATATCAAGGCTTTTGAGGTGAATGGAGTGTAGCAGGCCCAAGTATTCAACAGCCCAATAGTTTCCTTGTGTTTTCAGCCCAAGTAGTAGTGACCCGTTTTGTTAGCATTAGCTTAGCTGTTTTTGTTATTTAATTAAGTCCAGCTGCTTGATGATTCTACAGACAGGACATGTGTCAAATGGTGAGTAGGTTTGTTAGAGAATTCCAGATTGTCGTCCTTTTAGATCAATATTAGTCCTTTTGCATTGTATTCAGAGACTATCTATCAATGAAAATCTATTTTCTTTAATTTTCATTTTATTCCTTCTTTCCCAATTATCTCAGTAGCAGCAAAACTGCTACATATTCCGGTTCAGATTTTTACCAGGTTGACCTGGGCCGGACGTGGGCTGTCCCAGTCCAGCTAACAGGCTTAGGTGCCTTATAATAAGATTATGTGCGTATTTTAATTTGTTAAACTTTGTAAAAGTATATCTATCTTTCTGTTATCATATTTTATCATGTTTTCAAGTAAAAACAGTGCGGGGTAGCCAATTTTCGGATTGGTAATTAAAAAATAGCAAGTGTTTGCAACATCATTGAAAAATAACAATTATTTTGCTGAAACATGGAAAGTTGCAGCATAATATGCTGGATTAAGGAGTTCCTGCGTATAAACTTCCATCATATTATGTTGGAATTCCATCATATTATAATCCAGCATAATATGTTGAATTATAGAGCTCCTACATATAAACTTATATCATATTATGTTGGAACTCCAGCATAATGAACTCCATCACATTATGCTGGAACTCATATGGAAAAAAAAATTCGAACTCCAACATAAATGCTGGAATTTTTCGGGATTATTAAGGTTGTTTTGGTTCAGATTTTATCTTTACATGAATAAGTGGCTAAATTTCGATTACTTTTAAAACTGTGGTAAATTTTCAATCACCATTGTAAATCTTGCTATTTGTGATTTTTTCCCCTGTTTTCAACTCCAGTATACTAAAAACTAAAAACAATTGTAGGGCTTATGCTTTGGGCTTGCTTCCTGCCTCATCATGGGTCGTATGCCTATGATTTTTTTATTGCATTTTTTCCTCCTAAAATGAAAAAAACCACGCACGTGAACTATATATAGTTTAAGGCGAACAGAAAATGAATAAGTAATTATACTGAACTCTAATGAACATTACCAGCAAAACAGCTTTAACATGGCAGCGATCGAACTCGAATTCAGCTTCTCCAGATCGCATAATACCCATCAGTGTATCAACAATATCACTAGTTTGCTTCTTCTCATCAGTGGATAAACGAACATGTTCGTCAATAACATTCTCCAAAAACTCATCACAACTCTTAGCTACTTGTTTCATTCGACGAGCCAATCCCTGGAGATCAAGAAAACGAAGAAAAGGAAATAATTCAGCAAGATTTGGCGTTGCTGCTATATGCGATGTCTCTTGAATCACACCTTTGAAACCCTTATTATCCTCATCGATATTATACTTTTTCCCAAATACCATAAGACAAGCCATGTTGGCGCTAAGATATGCAACTTTAGCACTAAGATCAACTTCATCTTGATTCAATGCTGCCTTTTTGAGAAAATTCACGAGAATTTCAAGCTCTTGTTTCCTCATAGGTTGAAATGAATTGATCTTGACACTGCTTAGCAATTGTAGAGCACATAATTTACGCATGTTTCTCCAATGTGGACCGTACTTGGCCATGATCAGATTTCTTTGATTATAAAAAATATAATGACAAGCTGCATGATATGGTCTACTAGCAAAAATTAGGTCATGGTTTTTCAAGAATTGTTCTGCAGCATGAGGAGAAGAAGCAACTATAGTAGGAACAAGACCAAAGCGGATGGTCATTATAGGACCATATTTCTTGGCTATTTTATAAAGATCTTGGTGAAGATTTTCACCTATCATGTGTAGATTTCCAATAAGTGGAAGCCCTCTTGGCCCCGGGGGAAGTTTCTTCTTCAACTTGAACATTTTCTGCAGAAGAAAAGGCAGTGCAACTAACGCAAGAGCTAGCCAGATAGAAGCCATGGAGGAAAATGATGGTGGAAAATGAGAAAATAATGGTAGTACTAACTTCTTTTTAAAAGCACACAAATGATTGTTGAAATGGAATGAAAGACTCTCACGACAAACGCAAAGAAAGAAAGAAGAAGAAACAATAACTACTACTTCCTCGTCTTAATTGATACGATGATGTTTGACTCGCAAAATAAAATAAAAATTGAAATATGTGATCTCAAATAAGTTAGATATTTGTGGCTACAAATCATATCATTAAAGTTATATTACTACTAAAACTAAAAAAAAATATAATTCTTTTTTCACATCGACTAAAAAAAAAGAATATCGCATAAATTGAAACACAAAGAATACTAATAATTCTTGCTAGCATGTTTCTGGTAGAATTAGTAAGTTCTTTATGGAAGTACACAAATAATTGAATGAAGGAAGAAAAACAATACTGCTACTAATAAAGACTTCGTAGTAGTAAACTTATTAGTAATAATACGTAGTTTTCATTTTTGTTTCTTCTTTTTGTTGGTCGTCAGATCCGTGTCTTTCGTTCATTTCCACTTGTCTACTTCCAAAACAACTTATTAATTCTGTAAGAAAACATTTCGGCTAGAATGTAAAAATTTGGCTGGAGTTAACAAATGGTAGCATTCTAAATGATACTCTTAGAGACAATGTAACGACTTTATTAGATTAATATTATTTTATTATTACCAAAAAAATATTATAACACCTCTACCAAATAAATATAGATTGGCAATATGCATTCTCAGTTATGGAGGCGGGTATAATTAATAAGTTATGAGTTAATTCGAAACCTATAATTTTAATTTAAACTCTGTATTCAATTGGGATAATGCATAAAATCCTCCCCGACCTATGACCATATTACCAACTACACACCTTAAAAAGCTACAATTTAGATGTCGGATTTAGACTCGTAATCATCAACCATGACGCCTTTTCCCCTCTCTTTGACCGAGGAAGAAGTACGGTTCGGCCGGGATATCGAAGGGCCGCCAGGGACAGCAACGGCAGCCTCGAGACTCTGTCTGTCCGCCACACCAGCCTGTTGACCGCTCACAATAGGTATAGCCTCAGCGGCCGGGCTGGTCCCACCGCCAGTTTCGGGCACCGCCAAGGCAAGTTCACCCCTCGAAGATGTTTCGGCCTGAGGAGACACTTCCAATACCACCCGTCGTCTCTTTGATGGGGCCTCCCCACTACAGGCGCGAGAAGATTCGCCCGTCAAATGGATAGCAGGAATCGGCGTTTTTGGCTGAGGAGTAGTCTCCGAATATACGACTTCAGTCGCAGGCGCAAATTGAGCGCTAGCTCTCGGCGCAGGTCGGACCAGGGACGCCGGCTGACGGAATGCGAGCGCAGGAGCCCTCATTCTTCGCACCCTCCCTATCGAAAAAAAAGACGATTATATAACGACACGGCCAAACCGTGAATAAAGAAAAACTGCAGCAGGTCGACTCACTAGTGAGAGGCTTGCGCCCACATTTCTCATGGAAGGACACCCACGCACGAATCCCCATTGTAAGGGGAAGAATCGTGCCCATATATATATATATATATATATATATATATATATATATATATATATATATATNCTGGTATACATTTCTTGGATAGTTTCTCCATCCTTCATAGTAAAATTCTCATATTGAGAATACAGCAGTGTTCCTCTTGACCTCTTCACCTGAGGTGTTCCTTCATGAGCCACTTGTAAAGTGTCCCAAATCTCCTTGGCAGTAGTACAGCCTTGAATCCTGCTGTACTCATCAGGACCAAGTCCACACACTAACCATTTCTTGGCTTTTGCATTTTTCTCCCATTTCCTTAGATCTTCAGCAGTACAATCTACTCTTGTCTTTGGAACATCCACTCCTTCAGCATTCTTCTTGGTTGTGGCTAAAGGACCATCAGTGATGATATCCCAAAGCTCATAGTCTTCGCCCATTATATGGTCCCTCATTCTGTTTTTCCACCAGGAGTAGTAGAGGCCATTGAAGAGAGGAGGCCTGGCAGTGGATTGCCCTTCCCAGTTCCCAGGTGGTGCACTCATGTTGATCTTTTCCTAAGGTGTTAACCTCTTCAAGGATCACCTGCTCTGATACCAATTGATGTTAAAAACGTCAATATCACACAAGAGGGGGGTGATTTGTGTGGTACCTAATTTTCGCGTTAGAAGAACCTGGTTCTTCTAAGTGTTCTAACTACAGCTGTTTGCGGAATAATAAATACTGAAAGTAAAGTGCACAGAGATTTTTACGTGGAAAACACCTGGCTCAAAAGGTGAAAAAAACCACGACCTACTACTCAGTAGGATTTTCCCAAACTCCACTAAAATCACTGAGCCAAAAACTGCATTTACAAAACTCTTTGTAAACCTAAGGATTAACTCTAATCCCAGTGTAGCACACAGCCTCAACTGTTGCGACACTTTCAAGTTAACTCTAACTTGAATACTCAGAGTACCTAATACAATTGCTTCTAAGAAAGCTGTAAGGTACAATATGAAAACCTACTACAATTGAACTAGACTTAGAATAAACACAATGATGAAACTGGTTCTTCTATCTTAGTTCATGTAGCTTCAGACGTGCACACTTGTATCTCGCATATGTCGCTTGCAAATCAGACTTGATCTTCTTGCTTTCAAATATGCTTAACTTCTGCTTATGTGCATGCACCTGTAAAAGAGAACAATCGTTATATTTATAGAGTTAGTAATCAGAGTTTGATAAGAACTCGAATTGTGGATCCTTTGACAATTCGAGTCCAAGAACAACTCTAACTCCTAATCCATATTCTTGATCCGGATGTAATTCTCTTTTCATAAGGAGACTTCAACTCCTTATCCTATATGAAATCTTTTCGATCAGTTCAGAAGATATTCATCAAGATATTGCTGCTTGATCTCAAGGACTTATCTTCTTCACGTGCATCTCATGTGTATGGGCCATAACAACTGTGTCTCCTTAGATGAACCTGGTCCTTCACTGAGTTCGTTTGTCATTCTTCAAAACTTCAACTGATCTTGGGCCAACAAAAACCTAGGGTTTTGATAAAACTTAGATTTCACCACGAAATTTATTACGGAATGGAGTAGAAATAATATATTATTGATCCTTAGGCTATAGAGAACAACTTTCTTCGAAAATTTCGGAATTCGGGCACGTGGGCCCGGGGTCGGATTTTTGGAAACTTGTGTTTAAGGCCGGGAAATTACATTAGTAATTAAAATGAGAACTCTTGAGCTTGTATTGACTAGTTCCTACCTCATTTAATTAGTTTTGGATCGTTCGGCTCTAAATTGAGAGTTTGAGCACTTTCTTGGTATTAAGCACGTTTTGGAGCGAGGTGAGTCTCCTTTCTAACCTTGTAAGAGGGAAGTGTCCCCATATGTAAGTTAATTAATTATGTGTTGCTAATTTTGGGGGCTACGTACGCACGAGGTGATGAGAGTCCGTGCGTAACTACTATTATATTAATTGTCCAGGTAGTTTAGGACCCGTATCATGCTATGTTTGTAATTTTCTATATCCTTTCATGTTAATGAGATCACTTAGGACTTGTTAGAAGTTGGAAACAATGTATAAGAACGCATGTACTCACTTGGTAACTCGTATGATTTTGTTTGATTATGATTGTGCCTTATGTGCCCTCTTGATGATGATTGCTATTTGTGGATCGGGCCGATCGCCTCGGTAGAAATTGATGCATCTATTGTTCGCGCCATTCGACCCTCTGGCAGTGCACATTTCTTTTTATGTTGGACAGGTCCATACGACCTCAGCATAATGTGTGCATGTTATCTATGTGAATTCATATTCATGACTTGTCTTGCTAAATGCCCTGAAATGTTAATGGCTAACTATGAAGTTATCTAGGGAATGACTTATTATTTCATGCTATAAATTGCTATACATATATATCGTGACATTTATGCGTAGTAAAATATTTCTTATATTAATTGACCCTAGTAAGTGTCCAGTCGGCCTCTCGTCTCTACTTCTTTGAGATTAGACGGGATACTTGCTGGGCACATATTGCTTATGTACTCATACTACGTTTCTGTACTTAATTGTACAGGTTCTGAGGCAGGTGCATCTGGTTATCAGTCTGGTGCGCACGTTTGATCGTAGTCCGAGATTCCACGTTGAGCTGCTCCTTTCCTATGCCGACCAGCAGCATCATGGAGCCTTTCTGTATTTTTGCTGTCTATTCTAGTTCAGACAGTAGGGTAGATTATTCTTTTGTGTATTCTACTAGATGCCCAAATACTTGTGACACCAGGTCTTGGCACACATTAGTAGACTATTCTTTTGGGATTGTATAACTATTTCGGTTCGATGCAAATTATTTCTTGTTTTAAATTCAAAATTTAGAGTTTGTGTTAACTGTTTGGGAAAGTAAAACTAGAACCTATTAAATTTTCTGCGTTGGCTTGCCTAACAACAGTGTTGGGCGCCATCACGACCTGGTGTGAAATCCGTTCGTGACAGCGAGCGAGAACTGGATACTGATGCTGCTTCAACGAGACGACATTAGGGTTGTTATTGAACAAAGACGACGGAATTGAGGGCTGAGCAACTTCAATTTTTGTTACTAATATTTTTCAATGTATCTCGCTGTATTTCATTGTATTCATTGTCTTTTTTTTCATTATATTTTAATGTATCTCGCTGTATTCTATGTATTTCATTGTATTCATTGTATTTTTTCATTGTATTTCAATGTATCCCGTTGTATTCTATATATTTCATTGTATTCACTGTCTCGCTATATTCCATGAATGTATTCATATATATTTTTTTAATTAATATAATTTATATATTCACATGTATTATATAATTTCTCTGAAGATTGCTATGTTTTTGGGGTGTTTTTCGGTTGAGAATCTTTTTATAACTGGAAATACAAAATTTGTGTGTTATAATTGAGTTTGTTGAGTTATATTAGGAGTCTATTATGTTAATTAATTCACTTTCCGTTTAAAAACGATGTAATCCTCTGTTTCATGCCGCGAATACAGTCGAATACAATAATCTGTCCAGCTATAATCTCATGCTTCACGCCATGAATACAGTCGAATACACTCAAATACAAAAATCTGTCTAGCTGTAATCCCCTGTTTCACGCCTAGAAATGCTACTGTATTCATGAATACAGTAGCTTAAATACATCGAATACACTCTAAAAAATCTGAAAACATAGCTATAAGAAGTAATATAGTAAATAATAGCTACAACTAGCTAATAGTCACTAAAACATAGTGGTTTCTGAAAGTTTAGCATCGGCTATTTGGGTAAAACTGCCAACTGAATAATCAGTTTGTCAATGGTCCATATACTTTGGCAATGATAAGACACTATTCAGCCCCCGGGAAAAGATGAAGAGCCAGCACAAAGGGACGCTAATGTCCATATCAAACTAACAGTGACCCTAAAAAATATCTAAGGGCAAGAATCTACAAGGATATATAAACTTTTGGAATTAAAAAGTATGCCATTTATATATTTTATTATATAAACAAAGCGGATTCTTTTCTAACTCTCTTTTACATAATGAACTAAATATTCCCTTCTTAAAAAACCAAGAAAAAGATCCACAAAATGACCTAATGGCTTCTTTTACTGAGTTCAAGTGAATACTGAACACTTGGGTGGTAACAGCCAAGTACATTTTCTACAAATATTTCCTATTAGAACTTCAGTACACTCAAACACCTCAAAAGAGATGTTCTTTTTTCCTTTTTGAGGTTTTCGGTTCGCTGAGTTATCTAATTGAAAATCTAGTATTTTCTGTTAAAGATCCAATATTTCAGCAAAGACTGGAAAATCTTCTCTCACTGTAACATTCAGCTTTTCATATAAATTGGAATAATATATTTACCTGAAAATCTGAAAAGGGTCCTGAGGCTTGATGACACATTTTTTTCTGCAATTAATGGCACTGTAAATTAAAATTAATGCAAAGCTAATCCGGAAAACCTATCTATACATAAATTAATTATAAATATACTCATCAATTCATTGTAGTGAAAAAAATTGGAGCTTTACAGATTACAACAGCAGAAATGGATATTCAAGAAAAATCAAAATGGAAAAAAAGCAAAAATTTGGCACTGCCTAACCTAAAAATCACTAACATATTCGCATGAATCCCAATTCCCAGTTGAAAAATGGCAGCTTTCTTTCTGGTAGCATCCAATTTCAATATGCCGTGTAAAAAGGGGTAAAATAATGGCACGAAAAAAATATTATTATAGTTTCAGAAATTAATTAATGACCAGTAGTAGGTAAAAGAACCCTATGCACCATAAAAAGATTCCTCCTCTTTTCCTATTCGCCGCCGATGACACTTCTGTCCCTAACCCCGGCGGCGAAGATAAATGACTCGGCGGACCGTAAATTCCCGGCAAATTTTCCGGTGGCAGAGCAATCTCCGGCGGTGAAGCAACCCCAGTAATTGGCTTATTCACTTCAATTGGATTTTTCCCAAAGAATTCCCTAGGCAATAACACTTTCGACACCCCAAATATCGCCACTGGATTCTGATCAAACACAGTTTGAGTCACCGACGCTTGAACAATTCCAGTATTTATCCCAACAGAATCATTAACTCTTGAAATATTCAGCGTAAAACTCCCCGCACCATTTTGCTCTGTAGCCAGTGTGGGTTGAACTGGATTTACTATAGATTCTAACGAACCTAAAGGGTAATAAGAGTGCAAAACATGAAACCTTAAAACAACAGCTTTTTTCTCCGCTGGTAAAGATTGGAAGTTATTTGATGCTGACATTTCCGAAAATGCTTCATCTGTTGGCACAAACAGTGTTAATCCAGCACCACCTTCATCCCTCTCAAATTCCTCTTCTACCCCTGAAGCAGTAAGCATTGAAGCTGCAACGTTAAAGTTGTGACCATCAATAAGAGTCTTTGTAATGTTGAGTCCTAAAGGGGGTCGAGTTTCAGAAGCCATAAGATCAAACCCATTAGGGACTAAAAGGGAATCAACGGTGAAAACGGAGATATTATAAGGGAGGGTCTTTAGAAGTGTAATAATTGTAGCATTCGAGGTTGGTGAATGAACTGTGACGGAATTGGAGTTACTGTTACGGGTAATGTTAACCGACCCGAAGTTATTCGGGGCACGTCCAGTGGTTTGAAACAGAGTGGTGACGAGTTTTCCGGTGGGTGGTATAAGGCGGAGGTCAGGCCAAGAAAGATATTCAAGGAGGACGTGGTAACGGAGGATATCGCCGAGGTTGGTGGATGACGACGGAGGACGGTGGTTTAACAGATCGGAGGAGCGGAGGAAGGTGTTGGGAACGGCGAGGAGGGTGAGGGAAGAGCGTTGGGTTAGATCGGCGGCGACGGAGGTGGTGGCGAGGAGATTAGTGAAGTCGGAGAGATCAGGGTAAGAGGATAAAATATGGGTGATGTTAATGGCTAAAATGGGAAGGTGGCAAGTGGATAAAAGAAGAAAATAGAGGAATGTGATAGGGGTAAAATGGGATATGGAAATTGTGAAAGCCATTTTTTTCTTTGGTGGGAAGATTGAAGAAGAGAGTGATGGCAGCTCTCTCTCTCTCTGTGTAACACTGGTAAGAGAGAGTGATGGCCCTTTGGCTTGGGCTTCCGAACAGACACAGACACAGACGCAGCTACACTTGCTTTGGCCTCGGCCTCGGTGGCCCCCTCGGGGTTGATGTGATGATTATGGTGCATCATGGTCCATGATAGTGATGCAAATTCATTATTATATTCATATTCTCTCACACTATACTATTTATTTAAGAAAAGTATGTGACAGGTGTATTTAAGTGTACCAAGAGAAATTCTTTATGTATTTTTTGTTCTATAGTCTAAAGGAAATTCCTTAAGAGTATTAGGCCTCATTTTGCATTTAATGGAAGTTTGAATCTATTTTTTAATGGATCTTTGTCGTTAAGTGCTTTGATTTTTAGATCTGAATCTTGATACTTCAGATCTTAACCTTCAAGTCTATTTGTTTTTTTACTTTTACAATCACTTAATGGGTCAATAGATCTTAATCATTAAGTTCTATAATATAATCTTAATGATTATGATTTATAACATAGTCTTGATGATTAAGATCTATAACATAGTCTTAATGTCATTAAGATGTTATACATTCAAGAATTTATGTAAAAAAAAAATGACATTTCCCCATAACTCGTACACTTTCACCACTAACCACCACCACCATTGCTATCGTAGTTTCCCTCCATTATAGACTACCACCACCACAAGCCACCACCCATTACTATCAATCCTCAGCCACAACCACCCTCGCTGTCAAGCACAAATGTTAGTTGTCACTACCATTAGCCATCATTTACAACCATCAGCACCAATCACTATCACCATAATAAACATCGATCACCACTATTAGCCACCATTATATATCACCCATCGCAGCTATCAGTCACCACCACCATCAATCACCACCGTTAACTAATACTATCATCCATCATTTACTACCCATAATCACCACCATCAACCAACACCAGTGTTATCAGAGGCAAAAAGCGCAAAAAAACTCAAAGGTTTATTGGGGCTATAAGCGCAAATAAAACAAGGGCTTTAATAAAGAAATGCACAAATGGAGAAAAACTACACATATGTATGTGTAGTCCAAGACTAATAGGTATAAGCATGAATACCACAGATGTGGAAAAAGAAATTGAAGAAAATTTATGATAAAGTGAAATATCAATTGCTTAGTGTCGCCTTTTCATGATTACGCTCATTTGCAAAGAAAAGTATGTCTTAGAGCCTTGATGACAACACTGAAGCTCCTATTAAGCGAGGCGAATCAACATGTTTTGAGCATCGCTTCAGGGCTTAAGCACTCTTTAAGCTCACCTTTAATAACACTGACCAACACTACCACCAGCTACTACCCAGTTAACACCCACAACCACCACCGACCATAATATAATTTTAGGAAATATTTTACTAATATAATATTAATTAATTATTATTATTTGATTGAATTTATATATATATATATATATATATATATATATATATATATATATATATTATTGTTGTCCCATAGTAAGTGTCGAAGTCGACCCCTCATTGCTACTTCTTCGAGGTTAGACTAGATACTTACTGGGTACATATTGTTTATGTACTCACGCTACACTTCTGCACTAAATGTGCAGAATCTGAGGCAGGTGCACCTGGATATTAGTCCGGCGTACATCCTTGACTACTATGAGACTTTGCGGTGAGCTGCCTTCTGAGCCCGTTTTGCAGCAGCCAAAGTCTTCCTTTTTGCGTTATTTTATGTCTGTTTCATTTCAGACAGTAGTGTAGTATTATTTTGTATATTCTACTAATATCTCATACACTTGTGACACCAGGTCTTGGTGATTTATGCTAGTAGACACCTGAGGGTTTTTGGGTTATTTTATTTAGCTCACTTGCTTTAAAAATCTTGATCTCTCATTTTTAGATCCTTACTTCTCATTTATGCACAAACTAAAAATCACAAATTTTAAATCTTTAAAAGAAAGGATCACAGAGTTAGTTCATTGTAGGCTTGCCTAGCGGTAACGTTGGGCGCCATCATGGCCTATAGGAGAAATTGGTCGTGACAACCTGATCCACACATGACACCGTTGCGGCGTGCAACCCGATCCAAACAACATACCCGTGGTGGCGTGCCACCCGACCCACATATAACAATCTATAAGGAAATACCTACCAAGCTAGAATGCTCATACCCATAAAAGGCCCGAATATCGACCACAATCACGCCAAGTGCATGATACAATCCCTGGGGAGATGGATAGTGCCATACACTATAAAACCCAAGCACGACTACGGTGCAATAAATGACCTGCATCTCGAGAGCCATCTTTCTCATATAGCACCACAAGCTACACGGATCACAACACATGTGTGCATAATAGAGTATTACATGGAATAGCTAACGACGGGATTAACATCCAGTGCCTGAAGACTCCTTCGTAAGCAATGCTATGCGGAATGATTGCATACGACCTGACGTAGAGTACACATTCACATTAGACCCACCAATGGACCTCAAACCGATTCTAATCATACCATACTGGGCCAACAACCTTTCGAGGATCCACAATGGCCCTATTCATGACACACACGAGCAGCCGTCCCAATCTAGAACAAACTCCCACAGTTCACAACCAAAGGAATAGAGCGCCTTCCAGGCATAAACTCTCACATTAACGATAGTACCATAATCTCCATGCTTGATTTCAATCTTTAATAATCAAGTCACTAATATGTCGCACTTATACAATTTTACCATGGGATATGCTCCCATGACATTCCATACCAGGAAGCAAAGTCTGCACCTCCATACCACCAACCATACTAATTCTCTAAAGCAAACCAAGAATCCACAAATCAATACACAAAGCCTCTTACACAGGACACCGTTCTCAGGTGACAATAAAGAAAATACCAGCTTACTCTGAACATCTGAATTCTTCCCTTCTCATCCGAGCTTGTGACATTCCTGTCAACACCGAACCACAACCTTGATCGTCCACTTTCAATTCCCATGCCGCTCACTGCACCTATCATGCCGCTACGCGAGAGTACCAGAATTCATCATAACCCCTGAACTATTAGTGGAATAAGCACTCCATTGGCTAGAAACCTTTCACTAAACTTATTTTAGAAGAATCACTGCAACACGCAACTGAATTCCTATAACGTAGAAAATACAAACCTCAGGTAGTGGTCTAAACTGCCATAACTCTTCCGGGATCTATTTACACATAACAAGGCCATTAGAACCAAATACCTCCCAAATCAATCAAATCATGGTGTCTGTCAAGCCCGCGCATACAACCACAAACCACTTTTACAACTTAACATGCCGGAGGAACTAATCATTGCCACAATCATGCTGATTCAAACCATTACTAACCCCAACTTCTTCTAATTTACTCTTGACTTGCCTTAGAAATAATAATATCTCCATTTAAAAACATAACGAACTCAATCAACACTCATCACAGGTGACCCGAATCACGAGACCTCATCGTCTCGATACCCATGAACCCTCTCATACCCTCCTTATGTGCACAATAGCATCTCTAACCGGTACACCCATTCTGAAAGATCCTCTACGAATCCGAAGTTGTTTCCTCCTATTTCTCCAATACTGCACCGCAGACATGATGATAACATAAGCACTCCAAGTCCCTTTTATAACCTACTGCAAAAATTCGATCCTTAACCACACAACAGACCCGAAAATCTTAGGCACTGCACTTAAATTCTTGAACCCACTGAACCATTATTGAGAGCCACCCACTCTTACCTGATCCCGAATATAATCAGACTCCAATGCTCTGCTAGCACATGAACACTCCCAAAGAAGCAACCGGATGAATTCTTTTCCTTGTACATCATACCTAAAAGAAGCATAAACTCTGAGTCTTTCCAAAACATGCACATGAATCGATGAGGCCAAATATAGCACATATTCATCAAGTTCTTTGCTCAAATTACCCCTGATATTTTCTTTTCTTAGTCATAAGTAATATACCAATAACAGAAAACCGCACAAGCAGACAACCACGCGATCCAATCATAGACGGTGGGCTCCCCACTTAGCTTTAAGCTACCATCACATCCATGTAGAACCCACAAAGATTCTTCCTTCTCAATTACCATGATCTCGCACTTGTATAGGTCAAAATCTAACCATCAAATGGTTATTATTCAAAAAAACGGTAAGAGGTCGGCCACGAGGCGTAATAGTGACGAGTATCTTGGTTGCTGCCGAGATCAGGCCATCAAAAGGCTTACACGGCAGAACATAACACATGGGCAGGTAAGGAAGGAGTACGACCATGAGAGGGCATGCTGGTTAAGAACCATTGGGTAAAAGGGGAAATTGACAATATATATAAGGAAGGCCAAGTAGAAGAAAAGGGGGGGGGGGACCAGGAAAAAAGAAAAGAAAGACAGAGAAGAGATAGAAGAGATCTCCAGGGGCAAGAAGAAGAAGAAGAAGAAGCTCACGTTCAGGATTACAAATATATGCAATCCCCTTCATTGAATCAATAAAGCTAGATCTCGTAGTCATCAACAAGAATGATCCTTTATCCTCTTTATTCTTACAAATACGAAACGATATGTTGAAGTTGTAAGCTTATCATTTACATTTAATCTCTTCCACTCAATCTGAGATATGTTATATAAATTCAATCTCTTGGATTTCAACACTCGTGGTGCTTAGATCTAGAGTAGATTATATTTGTCTAAGATTTACCCTCTTTTCATCATAATTGGTTTAATCAAAGGAGCTTAACGCTTTTTGGTAAAACAATTTGGTGCCGTCTGGGGGGATTTGTTAGCCAAAGTCTATAGTTTCCATTAGATCTAGAACCAGTCAAGTATTACTTCCAGGCTGTTGCAATCTCTCCACTTTGGCGACAACGCCTACTTGAAAAGAATAGTAGATAAGTTCTTGAAATAACCGTATCAATCTAGGTTAGATCCCTACACAATAAAAACCATGACTAATGTCTATACGAGGGGTTTAAGTAGAACCGTGGTCACTATGTACTTGGTATGACCGAGATCCCACGCGATGTATTCACTTTGTATAATGACCCGTACTTCTACCCCTGGGGAAGGGATGATAACCTACTGCATGACCCTTCGGAAGATCAGGCATACCCCGCATTATTCTAGTATCGCTCATGCTAGATGGTCTATAAACAA